AAACAAAAATACATAATTAAAAATGTTATAAAACAATACAAAAAATAGAATTGGGAGGATTTTAGTAAAATAACTCAGAATTCTATATTCAAAAGGTAGTTTAATTTTATATATATAAAAGATTTTCTTTGTGTCCCTATCAGTTACAAAATCTACTGAACGCCAACATGAATAATCATCTAAATAAAAATGCAGAATTTAAAATGTTTCATTTTGGGGTGAATTTTAGTCCACAAAAAAGGCAGTAGCGCCAAACACTCGTCCAAAAATCCAGTAGACAAAAACATATGGTGCGTAGATCCAAAATATACAAAGATGAAAGAGATCCGCACTCCTCCAAATGCAGCTAAAAAAAGCTTATTCCATTTATTGTTTAGAGGTCACAAAAATATGAAGAAAGAAGTGCAAATTAGACTAATTAGAACTCGGATCATTGAGCATATGAGCGCTATTAGGAGGAAAGATTTAAAATTGCCTGTGGCTTGCCATTTTGTTGAGATGTCTCATTCAGTCTTAGACCTACATTTGATAGCTATTGAAAAGTTGACAGACTCGTAGAGGAGGGAATTTAGAACGTAGACTTTTGCAAAAGGAATGTAGGTGGATTTTTGATCTTAAAAGTCTACACCCTCTGGGTATGAATGAAGATTTGTCTGAATTGTTTTTTAAAATAATTTAATGATATATATGGGGGACTCGAAGAGTACTTGGGTATGATGTTTATTGATTGTATACATAAAAACTGATGTTAAGAATTATTGTTGGAGTCATGAGATTATTATTTGGTGTATATGTATATTTTGTTGATATAGTTGTATATGAATTTGGGATGACTTGTGAATGTATTTACTGTATTTTGTTATAGATTTGAGATATATATGTGTATTTGTTTAAAAGATCTTCGTGATACTAGGGGTATTACGGTAATACATGTTTTAATGAGCGCAGGTGTTGCTTGGTAGCACATGGCACTGAGGAAGGGTTAATACCCGAAAACGTTCTGCACTTGCACTTTGCACTTCTTTCTACATATTTGTATGTTTTGTGACCTCTGAACAATAAATGGAATAAGCTTTTTTAGCTGCATTTGGAGGAGTGCAGATCTCTTTCATCTTTGTAGTGGTGAATTTTAGTAAAATAATTCTACATTTTATATTATTTTCATTTTATTTTAGCAATTTCTCATTTTTTAGCAATCTCATTTGTTGTCATTAAATTATTATATATAAAAATAAATACATAAATAATATAAAAATTAATACAATTTAATAAATAACTAACTAAAGTATATATTACATTTATTTAAATTCATTTCATTCAATAATTTCTTTATTTTTTGTAGAGTTTATGTACAGTTAAATACAAAAGAGTAAAACTCACTCCAAACGTTTATATATTACTTATGTAGTAAAGAAAATATTCTATACCTGACAGTGGCCTTACCCGATCAACTTTGATGATTTGAAATTTTTGTGTGATGTCTGCCAGATTGGATGGCAGTCTGGAACGTCCGGACACGAAGCGCAGGAACAGGACTCTCTCCTCATTGGTAAATTCCTCAAGGCTCTGCCACAGCCAGCCAATGAGCTGATGGCTGTCGGTAATGTCACGGTATCGTACCACCTTCTTCAACATCTCCACGGAGACCTCGGGCAGGCCGCACACCAGCTGTTCCAGCTGTCGAGCCGTGAGCAGGGAAAGTAACGGGACTGGGATGATTGAGGACATGCCCTCCCTCACTGCTGCCACCTACATAAACACACATACTGCGTTACCACTGCTTATGCACCGTCAGCATGCAAGTCTACAGTCTAAATGCATTATTATAAACAGCAGGGACACTAACAGTGCTTGCTGATGGACATGAACTATTCCTTTAAGTGAAGTGTTTAGTTAACATAATTTTGATTCTGTAATTCCAAAGTGTCTGGAGGAGAGGCAGATACCTGTCTGTCCATCTCATGCAGTCTGTAGTGCAGGGCTCTCTCCACATAATCATTCCTGTTGGAGAATGTCAGAGGGACGTTATGCCCACCAGGAATCACTGGAACCGACGTGCCATCAGCACTGTGCGCCACAAACGAGTCCAGAGGGATCATCTAAAAATCCAGAATAAAACCGACAGTGAGAAAGTCATGTCTAAATGAATGATCTCTGCTGGTCTCTCTATGTGCCTCACCACTGTGAAGTTCTCTTCATTGATCACGCTATTGTCCAGGTGTAAGATGCCCTGAAGTGAGCGGTATGTGAGCAGGTCCACCTCCTCCAGGTCGGCGGCTCCCAGCGGAATACAGCACATCTGTTTCCACACCCAGGGCGCCAGGTGCAGATCCAAGGGCTTTTTGGTTCGAATGGCCACTGCCATTAGGATCCCCAAGAAGCGAAACTGCACCATGTGATCATCCGAGACTGCTGCTGGGTTCAGCAAGAACCTGTCCAGACAATGGAGGTTAGTAGAAAAACAATCTTTCTATTTAGAGCCATTAGAGTGCTGCAGGTATGACGTATTATTGTAGACCAAAACCAGGAAACAAGTTAGCATCTCAGCACTTCCCGTTGCATTGTACCAAAATCAATGATGGTTTTTTTAATGGGTTGTTGGTTAAAAGCCTAAAATAAGGTCAGGGGTCAAACACATTCTGCTTATATATCTCAGCATCTACAACGTACCTGTCCGTGTTGCTACCAACATCTGCAGTGCTGTTGGGAGTGTGAATGAGAAGCTCGACCACACCAGACTGCAACTCCTGGGAAAAGATCATTTGATTTTCGATGCCTGAATATGAAGGTGACCCTCCCTTAGTGCTAAGAGTTTAAAAACATGGACTTACCTGGCACATCTCAGTGATGGTGTCGTCAAACACACCGCCGGCGTCATCCGCCCCCTCTCCGACCAGCTTCACCTTCCATGCTCTGGAGGGCAGGCGCAGCTCAGTAGGGTTCAGGTTCACCACCTGCTTGGCGATCTGCACGAAAATGGGCTTGCTAGAGCGCCCCCTGTGGATTGGAGGACAAGGTTAGGTACTTGATCAAGTAAAAAGTTTAAATCTTGGCAAAAACAAATCTGCAGCTCAAACAGGAAGTTTATAAACACTGTCTATCAACTATCCATCTATATTTCCTACACTTCCTGTGTTCCTCTACTGCAGTGGTTCTCAACCTTTTTGACTGGCCCCCCATTGTCATGAATTTTCCAGATTTTAATGATCAATTGTGTAATAAAAGTATTACGATTTTTTTTTTATATTGTTTTAAAATATATTATTTAAAATATAATAAAAATATTAAAATATCTTTTAAAATATAATACTCACAATTTCTACCTGATACAATACTTTAGATCTAGGCACAACTAGAAAAACAAATATTCATTATAAAAATGGCCATGAAGTTACATGATTTTATTAATTTACATGACAAATCACTTTTCGAAATGGTGGAAATCTTGGGTAAATTAAACATTTCTAGTTGTTTTGGCTTATTTTAATGTTTGTTTGTTTTTGTCTTGTTTTGAAACAATTTTATTAATTTACATGACAAATCACTTTTCGAAATGGTGGAAATCTTGGGTAAATTAAACATTTCTAGTTGTTTTGGCTTATTTTAATGTTTGTTTGTTTTTGTCTTATCTTATAAACATGAATCATGAAATATATATTTTCCTGTACATTACATGGAGTTCAACTTCAGAGAATAATAAAAAATATTAGCAATAATGTCTATATAATAACAATATTATAGTTATTATTATTACTATTATTGTTGTATTATACTGTAAAATAATTACCAAAAAAAACCCCAAACAAACATTGCAAACACTGGATCATTATCACAGTGCTGCGTTTCACTCAGAATCATGCAGCACATATATTTATTTAATTAAAATCACAGCCTTTGTTATTTAATAATCAAACTAATCCATATCATGATTTCGGTTTTATTTAGATTAATTGTGCAGCCCTGGTTAAAAGCTCAGACTTGTACCTGGTGGAGATCCGTTTGACTGTAATCTGGGGGCCGTAGGTCTTTCCCTGCGTCATGGTTCTGCCGATAGTGCGAACGAGAGGAAGGGTGTTGACTTTCGGGGACAGCAGGCCTCTGAGTTGGCCCTGCACGATGGCAGCGGTACCTGAGCTGTAGCGGGAAGCATTTACCTGGAAACCAGCCAGAGAGTGACACGCTCAGACAAAACTTCTGCTTGGATATCAACCGACACAGACCTATTAGTCTGGAGGTAAAAAACAGGAACCGTACCAAGGAACACTTTCGCACTGTACACAAATTCAGCTGAGTTTAGAAAATGATGTAAGGTTCTTGGCAGGGAGTCAGAGTACAGTTTTTTCCCAGTGAAACATCAGCAGCGAATGCTGTGATTCACGTGAATGTGTTTGTTTTATTGACTGGCGTACCTGACTGCGGGGGTCGAGGTTCAGAAGCCTCCAGGACTTGTACATAAGATCAGAGAAGTGGTACAGCACTCTGAGTCGGGTGTTTAGCACTTCAGGGCTGAAGTCTTTGAGGACATTATACTGCGGAGGCACAGACTGAGGTAGACCCAGCTGTATCCCTGAACAACCTGCAAAATACACAATCAGAGTTGATGACACAAGATGCAAAAACCAATCTCACATCCAACCGCTGAGGAACTGATCCTAGTACAGACGGTTCACTGATGAGGTCAGAGTCTGTGGAGATGTGAAATTTTTTTTTTGCTGAGATACCAAGCTGAATATGCCATGATACAGTGGAAAAAATAGCATGTGTGAATTGTGTATTTATAGTTTTTGACCAATATGCAAAGCTGAATTTTCAACATCATTACTCCAGTCTTCAGTATCACACGATGCTTCAGAAATCATTCTAATATGCTGATTTGCTATTGAAGAAACAATTTATTATTATTATTAATGTTGAAATAAGCTGTGCTGCTTTTTTTTTTTGTGGCAACCATGATACTTTTCAGGATTTTCAGAAAGTTCAAAAGAATGGCATTTATCTGAAACAGAAATCTTTTGTAACATGTTTGTTTTACTGACACTTGGTTAAGTTAATGCATCCTTACTGAATAAAAACATTAATTTCTTAAAATAAAATAAAATATTTGTATATTTACTATACAAATTCCATGACATTTTTAGGATTTTGTTGATTTCTACGACCTTCCCAGGGCTTAATTTTTTTTTATTTTAAAAATTAAGACTAATTTTTATTTTTGATTCTTTAAAGAATTTATGTAGCACTCCTGTCTTAGCTACTCCTGACTTCTCAAACCCTTTTAAACTTGAGGTTGATAGCAGTACTAGTGCAGGTGCTGTTACAAGATGAAAATGGAATTGATCACCCATTGTGTTTCTTTTCTAAGAAATTCAGTCACCATCAATGTAATTACAGTACCATTGAGAAAGAAGCCCTCGCCCTCTTGTTAGATTTGCAACAATTTGAAGTTTATGTTGGTTCAACTTCACAACCTGTCGAAGTTTTTACTGATCACAATCCTCTTGTATTTTTGCAAAAGTTCTGTAATAAAAATCAAAGACTCATGCATTGGGCTTTAATCTGTCAAGATTTTAACTTATACATCAAGTATAAGAATTACAAGGATAAGAACTTGTCCATAAACATGAAACATGTTTCTTCTTGTGTATGGGGGTGTTACGTCCCTTTTGTTCCATTTCTGTGTTTTCTTTTGTTTGGGAGGTGTGTCTTCTGTCCAGGAAAAAGACCGATTGGTTTCTGCAGTCTAATTGGTGCCACGCCCCCTGCCTGGTCTGCTGACTCCTTGCTGCTTATAAAAGCCTCCTTTGTCACTTCCTGCATCAGCCTCGTGCTCACTCGCTGTGTTTGCCTTGCCTGACTTACTAGTTGACTTACTTGCTAGTTAGTTTCAGACCATGTTAGAAAGACTGTGAGAGTATCTTTGTGTGTTCATTCGAGTGTATAACTGAGAGAGAGATTGCTTGCTTGTTAGTTTGCTTAGCCAACTTATTTGTAATACCGACTAAGCCTACTGTTATTGAACAGTGCTAGTTGTATGGTGTATATAAGTGAACATTATTGTAGCTGCTGCACATGTACAGCATTCCAAACAGTTCGCTTATGAGGTTCCAAGACTAGGATTTGTGTGTACCTGAAGCTCTGGTTGACAGAGCCGGTGTGGTCCAGGCCGAGGTATGACAGCGTCCAGCCGAGATCTGCCTGATGTTCTTGCCCTGTAGAGCAGTAACCAGAGTAGGCTCTTTGACGGGATTGGAATGGCCCAGACCCAGCTGCAATGCGCACAAAGAAGACATAAGCTCAACTAAATATTCACCCATTCACAAATATCCACAGAAAACATCATTAAACATGATGGTAATAGGTCGGTGTGCTGTTTCAGCTGACTGTACCTGGGCCTCACAGTTGCAGCCCCATGCGTACACGTCTCCGGTGTTGGATAAAGCAAGGATGTGCTCGCAGCCAACAGCGATGTCCTCAATGAAGACGCCCTCCAAAGCCGGAATGATCTGTGGCCGGTTGTGATTCTTCAGCATGGAGTCCGGCAGACCTATCAGACGCTCTGTGAAAACATACACGCATATAAGGGCTGTCTCAACATCACAAAGGTGCTTTGAAAAACACAGTCAGCCTTACATTCAAAATATCTCATTCTTTTGTGAATGAAAATAGAATAAATGAAAATTATGCCACATTTACACACAAACACATTTGGATGATGATGATTATTCCTGGAGGGTCTACCTTGGCCGAATGTGTAGACGTGTCCATCTTTGGCCAGAACCACTGAGAAATGTGTTCCACATCCAACCTTTTTAATGCCTTTATTGCAAAGAGCCTCCACTTTCTAACAACGAATAGAAACACAGGACAATCAGTCAATGAAAAAAACATGCACTGCTTTTTAGAAGTTTGGGGTCAGTAAGACTTTTATATATATATATTTTTTTTTTATTAATTTTTTTTTTTTTTAAATAAACTGATCACACATTTGGATGATGATGATTATTCCTGGAGGGTCTACCTTGGCCGAATGTGTAGACGTGTCCATCTTTGGCCAGAACCACTGAGAAATGTGTTCCACATCCAACCTTTTTAATGCCTTTATTGCAAAGAGCCTCCACTTTCTAACAACGAATAGAAACACAGGACAATCAGTCAATGAAAAAAACATGCACTGCTTTTTAGAAGTTTGGGGTCAGTAAGACTTTTATATATATATATTTTTTTTTTATTAATTTTTTTTTTTTTTTAAATAAACTGATCATTTTATTCAGTAAGGATGCATTAAATTGATAAAGAGTGACCGTAAAGACATTTTGTTACAAAATGTTACAAAACATTCAAATAAATGTTGTTCTTTTGAGCTTTCTAGTCTTCAAAGAAAGTTTTGTCAACAATAATAAGAATGTTTCTTGAGCTCCAAATCAGCATATTAGAATGATTTCTGAATCATGGATCATGTGACACTGAAGACTGGAGTAATGATGCTGAAAATTCAGCTTTGCATCAATTATATTAATTATATTTTAAAACATATTCAAATAGAAAACTGTTTTAAATGGTAATAATATTTCACATTATTACTGTTTTTACTGTATTTTTGGTCAAATAAATGAAGCCTTGGTGACCATAATATTCATCTTTCAAAAATATGAACAAATCTTACTGAATCCAAACTTTTGAACGATAATGTACCTGATGATCAGGCAATGAGAAGATCAATCGGTAAGACTGTACCTGTGGGTAGCACTTCACTGTACATGGTCCGATACCCAGTTTACCATAATCTCCGTCTCCAAAAGCCCACACGGTCAGGCCGTCCGATGACAGGACTAAAGTATGATTGATGCCACATGACACCTAAACACAACAGAAAAGGTCATCTTCACTCATCACGCACTGGTGAAAGGTCATATACACACATTAGAATGAAAGTCCAAACAAAGAAGAAGCACCTGTCCAATGTGGTATCCATCTAGCGCTGTAACTCTCTCCGGGACCATCTTGTTCGAAGTTGACCTCTGACCCAAGCGTCCAGAATCTCCACTGCCAAAGGTGAAAAGTTTTCCGTCCGCTGTGACGGCGGCCGAGTGTTTGAACCCACATGCCAGCTGAAAGAAGGAAATGAAGTTCACATGAAAGCTGATCATGTGATGGTTTTGGTGATTATCTTGGACAGCAATTTTCTTTACCTGCACCACTTCCTCTCCCTGCAGAGCCTCAATCTGTTTGGGTCGCCTTTGCCTTTCACTGTTCCCGTGGCCGAGTTTCCCATAATCCCCATCACCCCAACTGAACACCTCTCCGGTCTCAGTGAGAGCCAATGAGTGGCCATCAGACCCATATGATGTCACCAGCTGTGTCACTACATAACCTATTAGTGGAAAAATTCCATGTAATAGATTTAATATATATTTCATGCATTTTAATATTGAGTTAAAGTAAAAAAAAAAAAAAGTAATAATAATCACTATATCAATAAAATCGCAACCTATATATATATATATATAGTATATACAATCTTATTCCCAGCACACGTTCAATACATTGTATTAAAGCTTAGAGAATAATAATAATTATTATTATTATTTATTAATTAATTAAGACAGCTACAGTTTATCTGTATCTTTTCTTCTTTATTTCTCTTGTATCAATATTTAATAATAAAATTAAATAAGATCAAGCACAAGATTAACTACATTTTTTTGTAGGTTATTATTATTATTAATTATATAATTATAGTTACAATATTTTTTTTCCAATAAGTTATTAGAAAAATGGATTTTAAGAGGTTATTTTAATGTTGTTATTAAATAATAATACAATTATTATTGTTGCTGTTATTGTTATTATTTATGTTGTTTGTTGATCATGTTGTTTGCTATCAAGTTGTTTATTTATGTTGTTTGTGGTATGTTATTATTGTTGTTATTTAATTAACAAAATAATACAATTATTTTAGTTAACTGACAGCCACAGTTATGTTTTTCTCCAAACAACTCTAAAATGAGATGAAACTCTCATGTATTCATTCAATAAAAGTTATATAAGACTCCGTAAGAGTAAATTCCCATTTCAATATTTTTCTGCTTCTATTTCCCCCCAAATTCCATGAGTGTTGGAATATCAGTAAATTAGTGAAGTGAAGTGAAGTGAAGTGAAGTGACATGTGGCCAAGTATGGTGACCCATACTCGGAATTTGTGCTCTGCATTTTACCCAACCAAGTGCACACACACAGTAGTGAACACTACTGAACACAGCAAAGGGCAGCCATATTGCTGCGGCGCCCAGGGAGCAGTTGGGGGTTCGATGCCTTGCTCAAGGGTCTCACCTCAGTCGTGGTATTGAGGGTGGAAGAGAGTGCTGGTTATTCACTCCCCCCACCGACACAGACACTGAGTGCTGGTTATTCACTCCCCCCACCGACAATTCCTGCCGGACCTGAGACTCGAACCCGCAACCTTCGGGTTACAGGTCCGACTCTCTAACCATTAGGCCACAACTGCCCCAAATAAAATCTGTGTACAAATATTACTGGCACTGGCCTGGAAATTTGTTTGCTGTGGTTTGCATTACCTTGTAAAGCTGAGATGACAGTTGGGGTGTAGAGGTCGTCTGAGTTACCCTGTCCGAGTCGTCCGTAACTGCCCTCCCCTACAGCCAGAATGGTACCGTTAGCCTGAACAAGGAACGTGCAGTTCTGACCACACACAACCTGAGAGGAACACACAGCAGAGATAAATGGAGAGGATTACTCTTTCTTTAAATGTACATGCCAACTTGTGGTAGTTTTGCATGTGTTTGGTGTTGACACTCTACCTGTTGAGTCTGAGAGAGGGAGGGAGCGAGGGTGGGCACAGACGCGCTGGTCCCGGCATCCGCCAGCTGCCCGTGACGTCCGTTACCCCACAGGTACACCTCACTTTTACCACCTTGCTGCCAGTCCTGTCAAATACACAAACATGATTTTATTAGATTAAAAAAAGATGTTTAAAGCACTGTTAAATACAATACTATTTCCTTTATACACATTACAAAAACATTATTCTTTTAATGCTATCTTAATATACTGATGCTAAAAAAAGGCCATGTCCATTAAATGGCCAATTCAGCAAGCTGTAAAGGTAAAATAGGCACGGAGATATGCTTTAAATGAAGAGAAAAGGAGTTTTATGTAGAGACAGGTTTTGTGTGGCGCTAGCTGGTAGGGTTTGTGTGAGGTAATTTATAAAAGCTGAATGAATAAAAACACGTGAAGAGTGATAAAAATCTGCCTGAAAGAACAATGCTGAACACAGGGACTATACTGACAGAGACGAATGAGGGAGATCCGGATGTCTTAACACACACTTCCACGTGTCTGCTAAACTTCACACACGTTCAGGAACACACAGACTTACTTCAGGTCTGCTGGTCGCCCAGGACATGAGCTGTTCATCCATCATGAAGGTCCATTTACTGTTGTCCTGGAAGGAGAACAAAAGACACTTTGCATAAATCAAAATAACCTTTAAGGGGCATATTGTGGAAAACAGGATTTTCTTTGCTCAGCTGAAATAAGGAATTTTGGTATCATTGAAATACTATTATAGTTTTTATTAATATTTTGAATCAGTGTTTATTTTTATATTTTCTGTTTTCATTTTAATTTTAGTTCAATGTTTAGTAATTTTGTTGTGTTTTTTATATTATATATTAGTCATCTATATAGTTTTTACTAATTTCTATTTCAGTTTTAGCTTGTTATTTTAGTACATCAACTTTCCATTTTGATCCTTGCTATGTTTTTCTTCTTTTCTTAAAAGTAAAGCAACAGTGTCCAAGTGTCAAAACAAGGGTCAAAAAAGGTCATGAATAAATTACGTTGTTTTTTGTGCAAAAAAACTTCACTAACATTATAAGCAGATTATGAGGGGAAAGAAATTGTACAAATATCGTTCCTTTAAATATTTCACAAGGATTAACTCCTCTGCCTCTTACCAGTGGTTTGGTCAACTCTGTGGATCCAGAATGATGGAACTCAGGTGCGATGAAGGATTCTGGGAACGGGGTGCCACGAGCAAATGCCTCTGCGCTCTTCACTGTGGTTGAATAAATGGAAAGCCAGTTCCACTCTGAGGGGCAGAAGGATCCAGGGGCCCCGTCCTGATCCGGCCCTGTCCCGCTGTGGTGAGGTGGTCTGGGCTGACGGCACAGTAACTGATCCAAGAAGAGACCCATGGCCAGTGTGGCCAGACTCTGAAGAAAGGCACTGTGAGTCAGCTGATCGCCCGCCATCACATGACTCTGAGGAGCGAGACACACATGAAAGGATATGCATAATGCACTGAGAATACCATCATAATGGAAATAACTTTGGAATAATTAAGGCTTTATGTTTTTTGAAAGATGCTCACCAAGGCTGCATTTATTTGATCAAAAATACATTAAAACAGTAATACTGTGAAATAGTATTATTTTCTATTTTAATATATTTTAAAATATAATCTGATAAAGTAAAACTAGGTGGTTCTGAGGTGATGTTGACCCAGAGAGCTGCAGTTCATTAATCAGAGCAGAAGCTGCAGTGAACTCCTCAGAAGACTATATAAAATAAACCTCATTACATTGGACAATAAGTCTCAGTTTTGATGAAAAACTTTATGTACCTTCTCGTAGCTGTACTGCTCCTGAAGCAGTGTGGGAAGGCGCTCAAGAAAGACAGCCATGCAGGGGGCACGATTCAATCCCAGAATGCTCTGACTTCGTAGAACGGAACGGCAGGAGGCCAGAACGTGATTCTGAGAAATCCAGTCTGGGGTACAGCGAATTAGCAAAGCATCCTGAGATAGGAGAAACAGAATTAAACATTAATTACACATTTTTTAATTAAACATTAATTGACAAACACTTTTTCAGAAAGTGTTCAGTACCTTTGATCTTCCAGAACAAGCGGTCACCCCTATGTGTGGTATCCAAGTGGTACAAACCACAGATCCCATTCCTGTAACCACAGTCTGCAGGACCGAACCATCCTAGAGCAGAGGGGAGTGTTTACAATCAAAAACAGGAGTTTTGTAAAGCTAATAAAAGAATACCTATAAGAAGCTTTTGGCTCACCCTGAGAGACCAGATGTTGAGCACCCCTCCGATTCCTCCAGACACCAGTGCAAGTCCACTGGGACAAAAAGACAGGGTCTTTACCGCGGTAATGTGTCCAGTCAGGCGGTACACACATTTAGCATTGCCCCGCTAAAACACACACATACACACCACACGCACAGCTTCCTTGAACTGTCCTAACAAACTCCAAAAAATAAATTTAGTGCCAAATAATCTAACAGTAAGAAAGTGAATTAAAAGGTGAAACAGGCAATAAATAAGAAGGCTAAATTATCTCCCCAAAAAACAAAACAAAAATAAATCATTCTGACCTTGATGGCACTGCTCTTGTCTTGGCTGGTAGACAGGGTGAGGAAATTGGGCACTGAGACATTAGCGCCCCCTTGAGGAAGATTCCACACATACAGAGAGAGAGAGAGAGAGAGAGAGAGAGAGAGAGAGCGCTTTCTTAAACTGTTAACAAACTCCAAAAAAGACCTTTAGTGACAATTAATCTAACAGAGTGAAGTGAATTAAAAGGTGAGGTTAAACAGGTAATAAATAAGAAGGCTTAATTTACTCCAAGTAAATTATCTAACCAAAAAAAATAGATAAATGAATAAATCTGACCTTGATGGCACTGCTCTTGTCTTGGCTGGTAGATGGGGTGAGGAAATTGGGCACTAAGACATTAGCGCCGCCTTGAGGAAGAGTCCACACATACAGGAGGCCATTTTGACATCCACTGAGGAAATAATGGACAATCTTAACATTTGGATGATGGATTAGACACCTGTGCATCCTTGACTACTAATATAACAGGGAAATGTCTACATATCCTAAAAATACTTCATGAAGTACTCATTTAAAGCTCTCAAAAAAGCTCCTCTGAGATATCTTGTATCCATTCTTCATGTAAATGGTGTGGAAAATAATATTAGTGCCATATTATACATATATAAGTCCACTTACAATGTTTGATTCTTCTCACTTATAATGTTAATATTTCTTCAACCAAAGTCATCATTTAATTGACACATTTTCCTCTATTTTCCACACTTTCTATGACTATGGGTTTTACTTCTATTCTATCTATTTTCTAAATGAATGTCATAGCTCTTATTATGAACAATTTACCTGTGCATTTATAATTTTTAATACATATTTAAATTGAAATGTTCAATCAAAATGCCATAACTGGATCTTTCAGTGAAAATGAGAATTCTCCACATCTCAAAATCCATTCAATAATCAACAAACGATGGTGAGATCCAAATCCCCACCCTTCGTTACTTTAATAAAATAACATTTCTCATTTTCTTTTAGTTTAACTTGATGTACTAAAAAAATAAATAAAACTAAAACTGAAATAAAAATTCTTAAAAACTATATAGACATATATTTAAAAAAACGACAAAAACAACTTCAACTAAAATGAACAAAATATAAAAAATAAAAAAAATCTAAATATTAACAAAAACTGTAATAGCATCTCAATGATACTATAAAATAACACTGGTTGCTACTTCCATTTTATTGCCATTTTAAGAATTCTATATGTAAATTACTTTTTTTATGAGTGAAATGAGTAGTAGCACCCCCAAAAATTTGCTAAATACTAAAGTAGGTGGGCATCTGGTTCTGAAAATCACTGTAATGACTATTAAGCATATGGCACACTTACACTGCCATCATGAGACGAGGCTCCGGCCCTCTCCCGGGCAGAGGGCACCACTCGGCCGTGTTGACTGTGCCCGTGTGGAACAGAGAGTGGAGGGTGACCCACGCACCGCTGGCACGACCCCAGATCTTCACCACCTCAGAGCGGCCGACAGACAGCAGCAGATGTCCGGTAGGGTCCCACCTGAGTGCACTTACACTCTCCTGTGAACAGAAAGGCAAATACGGGTTTATTTGTTGTTCGGTTTCACACACTGTATCCCAATCTGTATAAGGTGTGTGAAGAAATTCAAATTGTATTGATTCAGTTAACTTGGTTTAAGTCATCATTCAAAAGTTTTCCCAAAAGACCTCATGTTGCATTTTATTGAATGAATAAAATGTATTTTTCTAAGGAAATGCACTACAGTTGAAAAGTTTATGGCTGGTAAGAGTTTTAATGCTTTTGAAAGCACTCTTATGCTCACCAAGGGTGTATTTATTTGATCAAAAATACAGTAAAAACAGTAAGATTGTGAAATATAATTACAATTTAAAATAACTTCTTTCTATTTTAACATATATTAAAATTGATTTATTCCTGTGATGGCAAAGCTGAATTTTCAGCCATTACTCAAGTCTTTGGAGTCACATGATTCTTCAGAAATCATTCTAAAATGCTGATTTGGACCTACAAAAACATTATTTGTTATAATAATAATAATAATTATTATTATTATTATTATTATTATATAAATATTGGAAAGAGTTGTGTTGCTTAATATTTTTGCATAAAACAAAGCTTTTGTTTGAAATAGAACTAACCTCACACTAATTAAGTTTAGAAAAATAAAATATTTAAAGAAGCTAATTGAAGAAAACATTTTCTAAAATGTTGCTCATGCTTCATGTAACTTCCACCCAGCGATTAACAAAAAAACCCATTTCAACTGGTCCAAAAAAATGATTTTTTTCGCCAACTAGACAAAAAGCAGAATCATTATTGTTGGATGAAGTGTTTGGCTTCAGTTTGAGGACTTACAGGAAATGCTGTTAGCAGAATGGGCGGGTCAGTTTCGTAGTTTTCTGCTGTGGCTAGGAGAATTTTGCCATCGGGATAGCCCACGGCAAAGGTTTTATCAACACTGTACCAGGCCAGACACTGAGGTGCTGAACACAAGAAGGACAAAGACAGTGATAGTTCATTCACTACTGAATTATTAGCCATTTTCTCCAAACACATTAAAACAGAGATCTTCAGCACATTTATGGACCAACCTTCTTTCCTATAGCAGTGAGTGAGCTCTGTTCGCTCCACCCTCAAGTCGTCTGTGACCTCCAGCCAGCAGAGGGTGCCATCCAGCCGGCCCACCAGCAGACTCTCAGGAGGGCTGACCTGACTGCAGGCTTCCTGATTGAAGAACGGAGTGGAGGTCTGAACCCACGAGAGCGCAGTGACCCAGGAGGACTGAGCCTCGATGTGTGCCTGAGTACCTACAGGAAAGAAGACAAACACTAACGCGTTCAAGGTGCTTGTATACTACAACCACTTTGTCCAGGATGTTTTAAGCAGAGGCGGACAAAGTACTCAACTCCATTACTTGAGTGAAAGTACAGATACTGCTGGTCAAATATTACTCCATTACAAGTAAAAGTTGTAGAGACAGATTTTTACTTAAGTAAAAGTACAGAAGCACTTGCTTTTAAAAGTACTTAAGTACCAAAAGTAAATTTCATTTTTTATGTCAATGCACTGTTTTATTATTGTTGTATGTAATATTTGCAATACTTCTGAAGCAACTTCGAATACATTACACCTACTGAATACACTGACTAGCTTGTAGTATCTTTGGAATAAAGAGCTTTTAGAATTTTAAAAACCTATGGGGGAAAAAAAAATAACACCCCTACCCACCCCCACAAAAGCAGTATGGTAGTGATCTCACACAGCTCTGACAGTGTGTGCACACATCTATGTGTAGCCATTCATCCACATTGGAACAGAGTGGGAAATCACTTCATGTAGCCCTACAAGAGTGATTACTGATAAACTGTCTGAAAAAAAAGAAAGTCACGTTTTAGAGAAGAAAGAAATCACCCACTGACTTTCAAAGCTGCTACATAGTAACGACTTTCTACTTTGAGGACCTTGATAGAAATGTAGTGGAGTGAAAAGTACAATATTTGTCTTTCAAATGTAGTGAAGTTAAAGTCATAAGTTCCCAGAAAAATAATACTCAAGTAAAGTACCGATACTCAAAAAGTGTACTTAAGTACAATACTCAAGTAAATGTACTTAGTTACTGTCCGCCTCTGGTTTTAAGATGCACAAAATATACTGTAGTTTTTATCCAGCAGGACTTGACTGGATTGTGAATTATTAGTCAAGACAACAACCACTAATAAAGTTGATAAAATGAGTGAAAAAACACCCTAGCAACTGCATACCACCTGCCTAGCAACTTTCAAAGCATCTTACTCGCGACTTTTGCACAGGCAAGCATCACTCATATTTTTGGAAAAGTAGTCAAAATCATGTTAATTAATATTTTGATTTTAATAGTTTTTGTTGAAATAAATATTTCAGAAGTTAAAAGCAGCTTGTAAGTGTATTTATTTCTTGTCTCAAAAGCTCAGTATACCGCGGCAGCGGTCACTGGAGCCCTCGTGTGAAGCTCTCCTTGTGTGAAGACCGAAGAGTGTAAAGACCATTGACTCTACCATTTGACTCCACCGAGCAGGGACACCGATGTAGTGCCGAAATTTGCACGCTGCCAGATTATGCACCCCCTAGTATTGATGTCTACTAATACACTACTTTCTTTTTCTATTGGTCTCTGGAATTGGCAGTCTGCTGTAAACAAAGCAGATTTTATTACCTCTATTACAAGTCATTCAAGACTAAACCTCATGGCCCTGACAGAGACGTGGATCAAACCAGAGGACAATGCTACACCTGCAGC